CCGGTTTCCAAGAGGGCTTCCAAATGTTTTCTCACGGCTTCATAATCATGTGGATGGATCGGCCGAGATTTCTGTTTGAATGGGGTCTCGTCTTTTAAGTTGATGTGATGTCTTATCTGTTGTGTATGACCAAAATCAAGATCGTGGTGCGAAAACACATCGGAGTAAGTGTTAAGTTTGTTGGTGATCCTCCCTTTCCATTCTTCGGACAAGGGCGAAGTACCGAAGTCAAAACTGAGAGGAGGGTTTGAAGGTGAAGTCTGTTGCTGCGAACTACACGCCGCAAGTACTTTCTGATCACTTTTGTCAGGTTCTGGATATGGCATAACACGATCGGCTTTAACTAACTCAGCGATCACACAGTTAGTGGGTAATGTGATGTCATGGTTAGTTTCGTTTCTTAGTACAACAGGTACTTTGTATGGACCATGTGAAGGTAAGGAAATGAGGCAACAGTCTACAATTATACCCCCTGGTAGAGAACCATTGGTGGGTTGTTCAATGAGTGCATAAGGCTCATGCTTGTTTTGGCTGGGTTGCATAAACCCTTCTAGTAACAGTTTTTTATTTGCAGGGAGAACTTCTTGGGTTCTCCCTCGAAGCTTCACCACACCAACTCGTCCATCTTTGCTTTGTTTTTTTCTGACTGCTAAGGCTTTTAGCACGTGTTGGTACCCATAAGAGAGTGCCTTGGAATCAGGTAAGTTATTGGCAGACAATTGCTCATACAAAGGATCGAGTGTGTTTGTGCCAATGAGTAGTGGTGTATCAGAGTTTGAGCTTATATCCGGAACCACTAACGCAAGGGTAGGTAACTCAAGTCCAGACTGATCGAGCTCTTTTGGAAATGTGACACTTATCTCTATGTATCCTAAATAAGGAACTGCTTGACCGTTTGCGCCCTCGACTTCTAACAGATTACTGATGGGTTTAATTGAGAGGTCAGGTAAGTGTTCTTGGTAAAAAGAATTGGCAATGGTGGTTACCTGGGACCCTGAATCCAGTAAACAATTACATTCAACACTGTTAACTGAGACTGTAGCTGTGCATCGCCCACCCACTAATCTTTTGGGAAGTTTTGGCACTGAATGAGCATGAACTGGCTTGCAAAAAAGTCTCTCTGTCCTTTCCTTAGAGGGACTTGGTTCTACTTTAGCACCTATCTGTCCCACGATAGGAGCTTCTACCGGTTTAAAGGAGGAGACTGAGCAATTGGCTTTGACATCTCCCACTCGCGCTGCTTCTGTCTAAGAGCAAGTCTTTTAGTTGCAACTAGTGCTGGATTTGGCTCGTTGCTACAGCTAGAAGCTATGTGCCCATCTTCTCCGCACTTAAAACAGTATCCAGGCTTTGGTCTGGGCACCACTGCTGTTATCTGCTGAATCTGTTTGGGCTCATCTGGAATTTTAGTCCCCACACGGGGTTTTGACTCTTTTTGAGTTTTCTTTGCCTTTTTATCTGTGTTGTTAACCTTAAGCTGTGCAATTTGGCTCCTGAGCTCAGCGATTTGTTTGCGTAAGTCATCACAGTTATCATCTATTTCCAGTTCACAAGTGTTTTTACTCTGAGAGCATGTTGTTTGCACATTTGAATACACTCTAGTTCGTTGTGCCCCTAAGTGTTGTTTCATGCGTGCTGCTTTAGTAGCCTGTTTGTCTTCTTCAGTGCGCAGTTTGAGGAGAAGTGCTGTAAAATGAGGCGGGTTGTCTTTCTTTTGTTCGAGTTGCAGGTTTGAAATCAGCGAGCTGTCCCAACAGCCTCTGCAAAACTGCTTGAGCAGCTGCTGGTCGGCGTCACTGGAGGAAATTCCATTCCTCTGAATAACTAGGTTTAACAAGGTGTATAACCTCTGAAAGTAATCGGAAGGTTTTTCACCACTGTCCTGGTTTGTGTTTAAGAAGCGAGCAAAGAGCTCGTCGCCGTCTTCGACAGCTGCGTAAGCTGAATCGAGATGTTCAAGGTACGTTTCCGGGTCGGATTTTGGACTAAGAGCTTTAACGATGCTCGCTGCTGGGGCTGACAGACTCTCCACGATTCTTCGTACAATTTGGGACTTGGTGAGTGAAGGATCATTTATGCATAACACTACACTACTACGCCAAGTATCATAGTCAGTTTCAAAAGAAGGGTGTGGAACTCGCCCTGAGAACGGTTTTAGTCTGTATTGTGAAGTAGGCGGAGGGATAACCTCACTGCTTTTAACAATGTGTTCCACAATAACTCGCTGAACCTCAGGTGTGTTTAAAAGATTTGGTGGAATGCAAGGGTTTTGTTTTCCAGTCTCTGTAGGTGGACAATTGTCCTTTGAGTTGTTCATATAGTTAACTTCTGGTGTTAAAGGCAGGGAATATGTAACTTGGTCACTATGGAGCATTGGCTCTGGTTCAGTGACTGGTTCAGATGCATGGGTATCCCTTCCTAAAGATTCCCCAATTTTTGCCAGTTCCTCCATTAGAAGGTCTTTAAATGATTGATTGCTACGCGCAGCTATGTCCCTGAGCTCTGACAGATAGGCATCAGTGGCAGATGTGCTAGTTTCTAGACTGTACGCGCTGGCTAGGTCTTGAATATGGAAGAAAACATCTGGGTTCCTAGTACAAGGTTTGTCATAGGGTAAACATTGTTTCTTTAATTCCTTAACAGTGGCTTCATGTTGAAACTCCACAATAATCTGATCACAGTTTGGTAACTTAATGCGCCTGTTAACTGGTCCGAATCCTTCCATAAACCCAAAGACTTCGTTATCAAGGTCTGTATCAGTTAACCCACTGATTAAAACAGCATTTGAAACTTTGACCTTTTCTGTTTTCACAACTTCCATTTTAAAACACTCAAAAGTACCAATAATGCCAAAATGGCAAACCACTGTGACCTCCAGGCACTCTTATGATGTCAGTCAATGGTTAGCTAAGGTAACAACTCTACAATTCTCCTGGCTGGCTCGCCAAGTTTTATGTAACCGGATTACAGGATACAATAAGATAATTAAAAGAAAAAATAAACAAATGGGCCAATAATTAGGTTCGGGGAGAATTGGAGGTTGTTTAAGAATGACTGGAGTCACGGGTATAGCATGAAACGGTTTATATACTAAATTTTAATAATAATGGGAAATATAACACATAAAGATAACACACAAAAACAGATGAAAACAATCGACAATAGTAAAATGGTCGGTATGAGATTTGATCATATGAGTCACAAGTCAGCCGGCGTCAAGTCAAATCCCCACGCTTGGGGTGAAAGTCAGAGTCCGGTGGTGCGATTTTTTCCTACCACACCGTTGAGATTGTTCACAGAAGAGAGCAGTCTGCTCTTCAGTTACTTGAGATGTCCTGGTTCGTTCAGTGGTTAAGGCTCGCCATCTCCCTCGTCAGGAAGAAATCCAGTTCTCGTTCCAAGTGAGTGATCATAGGAGTCGGGATCAAACCCAAGGAAAAAAAAAACCCAGCCTGTAAACAACAGGACTGTTAGCAAGTTGGCATCGACCCTTCTCGTCACATCACAGCATAAAGTCTTACAGACTTAAACAAATGCTTCACTCTACTGGCATAGCCAATCATGTTTGGGTTCACAGTTCAACTAACATAACATCAATTTGATTGTCTATTAAAATAATTCTCAGTAGCTCTGGAAATATAATTACATATGACAACAATTGTTCAGCTCAATAGGCTCAGTTAGATTCTATTACTCTACACTATTCGACAAGAAATACATTCATGACAACAAGGATACATTTAGTTGTGTTTCTATACAGCATTGTGACACCTTGTATATCTGTAACACAATAAATAAATAAATAAATAAACAAATAAATAAATAAATAAATAAAATTTTCTATAACAAAATTAAACAAAATATAAATTCTGGTCCTTTGGTCCACCTTTGTAAAATAATTCCTCCCTAATCAGTTAGCTTTTATTTATTTTTATTTATCTATTTTTTTTATTATTAAATGTTTGGTTAAGGGACGCATTGCTAATTCTATGGCGTTAGCTATAACGCCCCTGAGGACCTTGTACATCTAGGCCGTACCGCCATTAACTGGCGGTTTGAGCCGTTAACTCCTGGGAATCCCATATGCCGTACCGCCGTTAACTGGCGGTTTGAGCCGTTAACTCCTATATGCCCTACCACCGTTAACTGGTAGTTTGAGATGTTAACTCCTGGGATCTAACGTCTAGCAGCCCACTGCTGTCACCTCGGTTGCTGTAATTAGCTTTTTGAATTTAATAATTTACTGAATTTAATCTCATTCACTCACCAACGCGCTCCAACGGTTCCCTCCTACAGAGGATTGGTTCACTCTGTCGTCTCCACACAAATCTATAAGAATGGAATTAATTTGATAAGCTATTTAAGTTTCCTTTTTTTTTTTTAAGTTGCATCGTTAGCTTTTTCTCTTCTTTTTTCTTTACTCACCGCGTTGGTTCCAAGTTCCTAGCTCTTATTAGAAGGAGTCAAGTCCGCCTCTCCCTCTATCTATGCGGCACCCAAATCAGGGTTCTTCACGGCCTCGACCGTTGTTTTTTTTTCTCTCTCTCTCTCTCTCTAACCGCTCAGTCTTTGCTTTCTGTATCTGCGTGCTGCACAGCCGTTTGTCTCTCCTCTCGCTCAGCTGCGTCGCACGGTTTTATTTCGCGGAGGCGGGACTTATTTCTCTCAGCCAATGAAATTTCAGATTCCCACCTGGACCAATAGTATACAGCTTTCCTCTTCTGTTTCTGTTAGTGATGTTCAAGATTCTTGTTTTAACCGATGTTTAATATTAAACTCGTTATTTTAGTTATTCACCCTTCCAATAATTCATTATGAAATTATCTATTAGTTAATTAGATATCTATTAATTAGTATTGTTAATTTCCTTAATTTATATTTTATATTTTATCTAAATTGAGGATGGATCATATTAGTAAGCCAATTAGTTAATACCTCATTAAGGTTCTAGCTTCTGGGTTACAAAACCATATTTTCTTTGCTGTTTTTGAACTTCACAGAGGAGGAGAGACACCTGCGGGCCAATGACAGACCTTTCAACCTGTCTTATCAATATGCTGTAAGAGTCAAAACAAAGAAGCATTTCCATCATAATTCTCTAAATCTTTTAGCTACTTGTAGCCATGATTCACAATGTCTTAACGTCCATCTGCCCTATTCTCTGTCCTCAGAACAACTCCATCAAGACTTCCAAATACAATGTTTTCACCTTCCTGCCTCTTAACCTCTTTGAGCAGTTCAGAAGGCTCGCTAATGCTTACTTCCTCTTCCTTCTTCTTCTTCAGGTAATGGTTTTCTATGGCATATTGTTTCATTGTTAAGTGTAGTTTCTAAATAGCTGAATGTTTACTTCAATTAATCTGTGTTTTTATTCACATTTCTAATGAGCTTAGAGTGAAAAACTGACATTGACGAATGTATTTAAAGTAATATTAAGACAGACTTTTTAATTTTTTTGTGATTCACCCTGAAAAGCATGAATAATCCAGCAGATTATTATTGTGTTTGTGTGTTGACAGCTCATCCCACAAATCTCCTCCCTGTCCTGGTTCACCACAGCTGTACCTTTGGTTATGGTGCTGGCCATGACAGCTGTCAAAGACGCCAGTGATGACATAGTATGATTAAAACAATCTAATTCAATACAGTACGGAGTAACTAAATACCCAAAAGATGACTCAATGATGTCTTGTTTTTCCTGAGCAGAACAGACACAAATGCGACAGGCAGGTGAATAACCGTAAGGTGAACGTCCTCGTCGGTGGAGAGTGAGTCATTTGAAAACGATTAAAATCTTACAATGACTGTGGCTGTTGTACCAGAGAGCATTTATTATAAAATGGAGAAAAATAGATAAAACAAGGGCATAATGTCAAGGTTGAATTTGACATGTAAAGAAAAAGTCTAATTATTATTACCAAAATTAAGTCAAATTGTCAAGAAAAAAAACACTGCTGAAAAAAACCGAAGGGACCAATCAGAAAAACATCCTGCAGGATATCCTTTTTAATGCGGAATGGTTGACGTGTTAGGAACAAAAATGATGCCACATATTTTTACAAAACTGAAAATGATGAAATCTAACAAGTTCCTAATTTCAGGACCTAAAGAAATTGAAACTGAAAATCTGATGCTTGTCTGTATGGTTAACAACATCAGAGCGTTCTCCTTTTGAGCTGACATTTGATGTCCTGGGGTATGTCCTCCCAGAAACCTGGACATAGCATTGCTGAGCTTCTGAATAATCTGAGGAGCAACCTAGTGCCTTTGGACAGATGTATAGATGGTGTCCCAGAGATGTTCTATTAGATTTATGTCAGGACAGTGTGGGGGCCAGACAATGGTATCAGTTTCTTCATCCTCTGGGAACTGCCTACTCTGTCCACAAGAGGTCAGGGATTATCACGAGGAATCCAGGACCCACTTCACCAATGAAGGGTCTAACAATGGGCCTAGGGGTTTAATCCTGGTAAAGCAGTTAGGGTACTGTGGTCCATCTTGTACAGGTCTGTTTATCCTTCCATGATATACCTGCTGGCTGCTCAGACAAACTCTGACCCACCACCAAACTGATCAACCTGAACAATGTTTCAGGTAGAATAACAATCACTGTGGTTTCTCCAGACCCTTTCATGTCTGTCACATGAGCTAAATGTTTACAGCCTGTTTTCTCTAAAGAGCACAGGGCACCGGCACCAGTCCTGCCAAATCTCTGTTATTCCCTCGTGAATGTTAGACAAGCCCCGCTGTGCTGTGCAGTGAGCACAAGACCCACTAGGCAAGGCAGCTTCACTTACATAAAGTGAGTCGTGGCGGATGGCTGCTTATACTGAGCCAAGATCCTCTGGAGGTTTCTTCCTGTTGAAAGGGAGTTTTCCTCTCCACTGTCGCTGCATGCTTGCTTGGTATGAGCATTGCTGTAAAGACACTGACACTAGTCAGTGACTTGATGCAACCTGCTGTGTTCCTTATATAGGACACTTTTTACTGATTGGCTTAATGAACTGACCTGTATTGCAATGTTTGCTGGGTGAAGTGCCTTGAGACGACTCTTGTCAGGATTTGGTGCTATATAAATAAACTGAATTGAATTTAATTGAATAGCACATTTTGTACACAGGCAATTCAATGAGCTTTCCAATAGCAAGAATAGCAAGAACATTAAAATCAACTGACAGAAAATGCTATTTAAAAATGAAAAAGAAACAAAGATAAAAGGTGAGCAGTTACGCCGAAAGTGCAGCATAAGAAAATTTATTCAAAGGCTGATGAAAACATGAAGGTTTTCAAATGTGATTTCAAAGTTTCTAGAGTCTGGGTAAATTTGAGGAAATAGGGAAGCTGATTCCATCTGTGTGCAGCATAGGAGCCAAAAGCAGCATCACATTTTGGCTCTGACCCAGGGTAAGACCAGCTGACTTCTTCCTAAGGATCTCAGAGCTCTGAAGAAGATCCAACGTGTATTCTCATACTCCTCATTCACATGTATTGTGGCCCCATACCATTGAGTGATTTATAAACTAGTAGAAGTACTTTGAAATAGATTCTGTAGTTTACTGGTAACCAGTGTAGAGGTTTAAGAACAGGAGTGATGTGCTCGGTTCTCTTGGTTCTTGTTAAGACTCTAGCAGCAGCGTTCTGAATAAGCTGTCGTTGCCTCACCACTTTTTGGGGAAGACTAAATACCATTAGGGCCCTTCAGATCACCATCATTAAGTATTTTTCTAATGGTTAAATTTCTCTTAAATGTTTTGCTTTATTGTAGAAACTGGCAACTTTTCTCAACATTTCAAGTTTAAACTGGACATGTCCTCCTTTTTTCATTTTCTTTCACTTGGCATGAGGTCTTTGTCTTACTGTTGTAAGGACAGCAGTAGCTCAGGAGGTAGAGTGGGTTTTCCAGTAATCGGAAGGTTGCAGGTTTGATCCCTGAGTCCCACCAGAGAATGCTGCTGTTGTGTCCTTGGGCACGACACTTAACCCACCTTATCTGTCGGTTGTGATTGGAGGGACTGGTAGCGCCTATGTTCGGCAGGCCTTGCTTGCATCAGTGTGCCCCAGGGCAGCTGTGGCTACATTGTAGCCCATCCCCACCAGTGTGTGAATGGCAAGATAACTGATTGTGTTGAAAAGCACTGAGGGGGGTTGTAGAACTCCAAGAAGGTGCTATACAAAATACAGGCCATTTACCATTAAAATGAACAATGCTTTTTGTTTTGTTTTGTTTTGTTTTTACAGGCTAAAAAATGAAAAATGGATGAATGTTGAGGTTGGAGACATCGTCAAACTGGAGAGTAATCACTTTGTCACAGTAAGTTTGGACTTCTCAGAGTAAAGACAAAGTAAAAAAAAAGTGTAACTGGAGTCATGTTTACTGTCTCAGGCAGACCTCCTGCTGTTGTCCAGCAGTGAGCCTCTCAATCTGGTCTACGTGGAGACGGCAGAGTTGGATGGGTAACTGTGTGATACATGACTTTATGCACTGGTCATTAGGTCTCCCTTCACTTAGAACCCTTTTTACCTCCCCCAGGGAAACCAATCTGAAAGTGAAACAGGCCCTGACTGTAACTGGTGAGATGGGAGACAACATTGGAACTCTTTCTTCCTTCAGAGGTGAGAAACTCATTTTTTGTAGCCTGGTCTGTTATTTTCTCCAAGAATAGTGAAAACAAACTCATGTAATTTAAATCAAGACTTGAGTTTATACAATAAAACTTCTGGCACTGTGACATTAACCCAATGCAAACCTTTAAGGTAAGCAACTCAATACCAATGCAGAATAAACAGGTGTGTAAAACAAAGAAGACAGGTTGCAAATGGTGGAAAAAGTACAGTTGAATTTTATCCTAAAATGATAAGACAGCAATAAAATCGAGGCGAACTTGGCTTTTCCAAATTAGTCCATAATCAACCTTCAGTCTGAGTCCAGGTCATATGGACAGTAACCCTAAGCCAGGACACCCACCAGCTCCTCTGGTGTGATCCATGGTACTCCCAGACTAATTTAATAATCTAATCTAATAATATATTCTCCAAAGTGTTATGAGTTGGCCCTCACCGTTATAGCATGCCTGAAACTCCTCCCTCCATGAGGCAACCAGTCCAGGAACCATCCTTGCCGCTCCATACAGGACCTGTACACCTCCTCTCCCATCCAGCAGAAGGCTCCGATCCATTTAAACAAGAACCTCTCGCTACAAAAACAATTCTTCCCCTCTGTTGTTGGACTCATGAACAACAATCCTCGGCTGCCCACTCCAGTCGCTTGGTTCCAGTCACATGACCCTGTGTTGTGTTTGCACCTGAACTGATCTGCTCTGATTAGTACCTACACAGTAGCCATTATTATTTTATCATGGTAATAGTCTAATAGTCTATTTGCTTATCTTTATTTATTTATTGATGTTTTGCACCAAGTACCAGAACAATTTCCTAATGTTGTGATTCTTGCACACATGAAAATAAACCCATTCTGATCCTGATCCTAACCACACACCCAAACCCAGCTGGCTCCAGTCAGCATAGAGGAGCTCCTTGTCTCCCCATGCATAAACCTATATAGACAGCAGGGTAAAATTATACTATATATGATTAATGTCGATCACATGCATCTGTCATTGGGCTAATACACAGAAACATGCCAACATAAACAAACAAATAAGTTTACAGTAATTATTGTAAAAATATGAACAAAAGAAATGTAAATAGAAAAAGTGGAACAAAATGGGCAAAAATGTCAACCGTAATAAACACGTTGTTTACAAATACATACTTACAAAATCAAAGGATCTATTTTTAACACATCTTGTTTTACCCTAGACGTGTTAACGTGTTGCTGACGTTCTCAGGTGAAGTTCGGTGCGAGCCGCCCAACAACCGTTTAGACAAGTTCAAAGGAACCCTGACTATGAATGGACGAAACTACGGTCTGGACAACGACAAAGTGCTGCTCAGAGGGTGCACTCTGAGGAACACAGAGTGGTGCTTCGGCCTGGTCCTCTTTGGAGGTAAAAGTCTACCTTAATAATAATAATTAATATTCTGTCCTGACACTTTAAACCTAGAAGCAGCATTTGATGTTCTCCTGCGGTTTACTAGTCGTGTCTGCTTTGGCCCAGCAGAGGGCTCTTGTGCTACACAGTTAGCGTCGCAAGACACCGTTTGCTCTGGAAGACAGTAACATAACTATAATACCTCCAGCATTTATCTACAGTGTATGTATAAATTACTGTGAAATAATGGAAAATCTTGATATCTTGTTTTGGAAGTGCCGACTTTGCAAAAGATTTAAGTATCCTGATATTCACCTTTCTGCAGTAGTAATGCATTGGTAAAAGTATATATTTGTTTGTTTAAAGCGCTATTCCTTCTGTATTTCAAAGCTTATCTAAAATGGTAAATGGCCTGTATTTGATATAGCGCCTTCTATAGTCCTGGAACCCCGCAAGATGCTTTACAACACAGTCATTCATCCATTCACACCCTGGTGGTGATGAGCTACCTTGTAGCCACAGCTGCCCTGGGGCACACTGACAGAGGCGAGTCTTCCGTACACTGGCACCACTGGTCCCTCCGACCACCACCAGCAGGCAAGAAGAATTAAGTGTCTTGCTCAAGGACACGACAGCGACAGACTGAGTGGGGCTTAAACCTGCAACCTTCCGATTGCGGGGAGAGCACTTGGCTCCTGAGCCACCTGAAAGAAAGAAACCTGAAATACTAAAATCTGCATTCAACAGATGCTGCATTTTTTTAAAGCATGATATTGAATCTTTTCAGGCCCTGACACAAAGCTCATGCAGAACAGTGGAAAGACAGTTTTTAAACGGACCAGCATTGATCACCTGATGAATGTCCTGGTGTTGTGTGTAAGTTGATGCACAAGCACAACAGTGGAAGCTCTCATGGACAACTATTACAGTCCATTGATATCTTTTGTCTGAGTAGTTATGGGGATTTGTGTGTTTTATTAGATCTTTGGCTTCCTGGTGGCCATGTGCTTCATTCTGGCCGTCGGTAACGCCATTTGGGAGGTGAAGGAAGGATCTGTGTTCACCGTGTTCCTTCCCCGAGAACCGGGCGTCAATGCCGCTCTGTCGTCCTTTCTCTCCTTCTGGTCCTACGTCATCGTCCTCAACACGGTGGTGCCCATTTCTCTCTATGTCAGGTACAATTTCTGCACAGAAAGTTAATATTCATTGTAAAGACGTGAGCCTGACACTAACATCTGGTTGAAAATCAGTGTTGAGATCATCCGCCTTGGGAACAGCTTCTACATAGACTGGGACAGGAAGATGTATCACCCAAAGAGTGACACCCCTGCACAGGCGAGGACCACCACCCTCAATGAGGAGCTGGGTCAGATTAAATACATCTTCAGTGATAAAACTGGGACCCTGACGCAAAACATCATGACCTTCAACAAGTGCTCCATTCATGGAAAGAACTACGGTAGGAATATGTACTTAAATAATAAAAGTATATAGTTAGACACTCCAATAACTGTTATTCCTTTTGTTTAGGTGAGCTCTTTGACTTTTCTGGACAAAGAGTTGAGATAACAGAGGTGAGATGCAAAACCAGCATCACTGTTTATTGTTTAATTTCGTCTAAATCCTCTTTCTCACCATTTTTTTTATTAGAAAACCGAGCGAGTGGACTTCTCCTGGAACCAGTTGGCAGATCCAAAGTTCGTCTTCCATGATTACAGTCTGGTTGAAACGGTAAAGGAGGGAAACCCAGAGGCTCAGGCCTTCTTCCGCCTGCTGGCTCTGTGTCACACCGTCATGCCTGAGGAGAAGAAAGAGGGTGATGCTTTAGATTTCTGCCCAGTTGTGGCTTCATAAATGTAAAAGCCCTCACTGACCCCGCCTGTTGTCCTGATTCCACCTGGTAGGGGAGCTCAACTATCAGGCCCAGTCACCTGATGAGGGCGCTCTGGTGACCGCAGCCAGAAACTTTGGATTTGTGTTCCGCTCTCGAACACCAGAGAGCATCAGCATCATGGAGATGGGCATGAAGGTCACGTATGAGCTTCTGGCTGTTCTGGACTTCAACAATGTGCGTAAAAGGATGTCAGTAATAGGTGAGAGGAAACACTCAGGTGCTTGTAATCATGTTGTAATGCACGTTTGTGTTTTTATCATTATTTGAGACAACAATGTAGAATGCTGGAAACAGAAGCCAGAACATCGCCCAGATTCAGGGTAAAACTATAAAAACTGTGATTTCCAGTGCGAAGCCCTGAAGGCAAGATGAGCCTGTACTGTAAAGGAGCCGACACCATCATCTATGAGAGATTACACCCCTCCTGTAGCAAACTGATGGAGGTCACCACTGGACACCTGAATGTAAGACATGCAGCTGGGACTTTTATGACCATTGCTGGAGAATTTGGTCTGGACTTTGTTTGTGACTGCTTTGAATCGTCCAACCCAAACAGGAGTATGCTGGCGACGGCCTCAGGACTCTTGTTCTGGCCTACAAGGACTTGGAGGAGAGCTACATGGAAGGGTGGACACAGCGCCACCATGAGGCCAGCACGGCTTTGGAGGGACGAGAGGAGAGACTGGATGAACTTTATGAAGAGATCGAGAAAGACATGATTGTTGGTTTATCTTCTGAAAACATTTGTTTCCTAAAACAATCAGATATAAATCCTGAACTGTTTCATCTAAAGAAAAATAAAGAAATCCTGTCTGAACGCCTAATCGCTTTAATCCACCTGAATTCTCTGGTTTCCAGCTGCTGGGAGCGACGGCTGTGGAGGACAAGTTGCAAGACGGTGTCCCACAAACCATCGAGCAACTGGCTAAAGCCGACATCAAAATCTGGGTCCTGACTGGAGATAAACAAGGCTGGTGTCCCAATAACATCAAACAGTGATGCTCTGATTTAAATAGTGTTTATGTGTCAGTAAGTTCTGGTGATGAGGCTCAAATGGGTCAGAGAATGATGTCTTTTGTGACTTTAAGGCCAGATTTGATGAAGCCGACCTACTTTTGATACCAAAGTGTTTTTGTTCTGAAACAGAAACGGCAGAAAACATCGGCTACTCCTGCAACATGTTAAGAGAAGAGATGAAGGAGGTTTTTATTGTTGCTGCAAACACAGCAGAAGGAGTCAAAGAGGAGCTGCAGTAAGTCACTAATTGTTAGTACCGTAATTTCCAGACTATAGAGCGCACCTCAATATCAGCCGCACCAACAAAAGAAAGGTTTACACACACGCCACACTCAGATACAAGCCGCGGCGCAGCAGCCACATGTATGGCCATGACATAAGATAATTAGACAGAAAGACGTTACACGGAGGTTTTTCGTTGTTGTTTTAATTCAACAAAACAAATTTTAAACACGGGTGAACGTGCCTGCAAGTTTAGAAAAGAAAACAGCACTGATAGCATTCATATTTCTGGATGGTTATAAAATTAAAAACAGAACTGACACGTTATTACCGGTAATTTGCAAGTTTAGAAGAAAAGAACAGCATTAATAAGCCCTGGATGATTAGAAAATAAAAACTGCACACAAAACATGCCTGGTTAGTAAATAAAACACACTTGCCTACCAGAAGAAGTCATTCGCTCTCATCTTCCTCTCGCACACTAAAGCCATTAAAGTCCTCCTCTTCAGTGTCGGAGCTGGACAGCCTCAGAAGAGCTTCGTCACATACCTTTTCTGTGGCGATGTCAGTGTCGCTGTCCGTGTTGCTGTCATCATCCCCGGGTGAAGCTGGCTTGAATGAGTTCTACCCACTGCCGTCTCCAGCGCCGAACCATGGATTCATTCATGCCAAACTTACATGCAGCAGCAATGTTTCCCTCCTTCACTGCCAGATCGATGGCCTTCAACTTAAATGCGGCAACATATGAACTCATACGTGTAGTTACCATGATGAGGGGGTATGGATTTGAAAAAAAATTCTTCGTCATGCCGGCTGCTTGCATGTGCTAAATTAAAATTAGCACGTTCTTCGATTTCCACTTTTGACTTCCACCTGTTTCACTTTCTGCTAAAGCGCCCCCTGCAGGTGAAGGAAAGTCTTCAGTAAAGCCGCACCTCATTATAAGCTGCATGGTTCAAAGCATGGGGAAAAAGTAGTGGCTTATAGTCCGGAAAATACGGTAATAGTAGAATATGAGATGTTCAAATCTTTTTTATAGTTTGTATGTATAAAACTGAAGAAAGGCTATGATAAACTGTATGCATTCTTATTTCAATGCACATTTTGCAGAAACCATCTTGCTAAATAAATAAGCAGTTTTGCCCAAACATGTCCGTCTGAACTTTGTCTCTTTATATTTTCTTGTTTTTAGGAATGCAAGAAGAAAAATGTGTCCAGCAGCAGCGGAAGATCCATCAGTGATTAAAGCTCGAGCTGGTCTGTTTTGGCTCAAGATGACAGAAACGGTGGAAGATGAGAAAGTGGACGATGAATACGGTCTGATTATAAATGGACACAGCTTGGTGAGATGTTGTTTGTATCTTTTTAAAATCTTTAATCGTCTGAGAGGGTTCTATTACAGTCTTTAAGGTTTGTGTTTCCCTTCCGTCTTCAGGCCTTTGCCCTGGAGAAGGACCTGGAGCTGGAGCTGCTGAGGACAGCATGTATGTGTAAAACTGTGATCTGCTGCAGGGTCACCCCTCTGCAAAAAGCCCAGGTGGTAGAGCTGGTCAAGAAATACAAGCAGTCAGTAACACTCGCCATCGGGGATGGAGCCAATGACGTCAGCATGATTAAGGGTGAGATCCTTCACAGAGCTGTGCATATCCTTGTTAGTGATTTGAAGTAAAACCTTTGCTCCGTGTCTTTTAGCTGCTCATATTGGTGTAGGAATCAGTGGTCAGGAGGGGATGCAGGCGGTTCTCTCCAGCGACTTCTCCTTTGCTCAGTTCCGTTATCTCCAGCGCCTCCTGCTGGTGCACGGCCGCTGGTCCTACCTTCGCATGTGCAAATTTCTGCGATACTTTTTTTACAAGAACTTCACCTTCACCTTTTTGCACTTCTGGTACGCCTTCTTTTGTGGCTTTTCCGCACAAGTAAGTCACCCACAGACTTTGTGTTTTATCAGTTGTGTATTTTCGTCTTGTTGTCGTTTGTTTGGAAGATTTTGCAGCTTTGTTTTACATTCAGGTTAGCTTTGCAGTCAGGGTCTTTGTTTTGTGGTGCTGTTGTAATCTGTTGAGCGGATTCACTTTGAGTGATTAAAGGATGTGAGCATGTCATCCTTACCTTCCTCCACAAAACAATGTTTCTAAACTTTTGACAGTACTAGACAGACCAAAACTGAGTTCTTAAATGTTGTTGTTTTTTAGACGGTGTATGACGAGTGGTTCATCACTTTATACAACTTGATGTACACAGCTCTTCCCATCCTCAGCCTGTGCCTCTTTGACCAGGTATGTCCTCGAAATAAACACAAGTACCATCCTGAAAACTTTCTGAAAATTAAAAACATGTTTTAATTTAAACATTTAATGTCCATATCAAGCAAAAAAGGCCATTGTGTCCTTTTATCTCATTTTTATCCAATTAAAACAATATAGTTTTATTTAATGTATGGTAGTATCATTGTAATGCAGTACTGGCACCAAGACTGTGGAACAAACTAGCACTAGATATCAGACAACCATCAGCTGTCTGGAGCTTTAAACCGACTCAGAATTTTAGATCTTTTTAACTTCTCGGTTGTTTTACTTGTCTTATTTAGCTCTTTATTGCCATTTTTTGGGTTTTTATCTGTTGCAATGTCATATTGTTTTTATGAGTTTTGTCACATTTTGTTTTATTGTTTTTATTGCTTTTTATGTGTCACATGACCTTTTCTTATAGCACGGTCTTTTGTTTATCCCAATATGATTTTATCTTGCGCTACACCTCGGGCAGCCTTGACTGGTGGCAGTAAGGTGCTTTATAAATAAATAAATGAATGAAATAGTTATAAAGTAACAATGTCTAACGCTTTATTCTTTCAATTTTCTACTTTAGTTGTGTTTTTATTTCTCATGTAGACCAACACCTGCAGGTCAAAGGGTTAACATTTTAGGACTGTTGATTGACAGATGACGTTTTTGTTTTCTGTAGGATGTAAACGACCGCTGGAGCTTCCAGTACCCTCAGCTCTACTCCCCCGGCCAGCTGAACATGTATTTCAGTAAAAAAGCCTTTGTGCGCTGCATGATGCACAGCTGTTACAGCTCCCTAATCCTCTTCTTTATCCCGTGGGCTGCCATGCACGACACAGTCAGGGATGACGGCAGAGACATAGCAGATTATCAGTCTTTTGCTTTATTGGCACAGACCTGCCTGCTTGTAGTGGTGAGCGTCCAGGTGAGGGGCCGGCTTTTTCACAAAACTTTAAAACATAAAGATGATGAAAAATGCAAATGCCCACATTAGTGACAATAAATTACATAAATGTTACCGTACTGACGCATGACTAGAAATACTTAATGAAAAGCCACATTTCATATTTGAATACAATATTTAATGATTGCTTGATTATTTCTTTTATGTAACAAAGCTTCTTGGTAATAAATCTAAAGGATTGTGCTTCATTGGAGTGATCCACACAGCCAAATGTGTGGGCAGTGCCCCTCATAAATGTACCAAACAGCTCTGAAATGTTTGTGCTACGTTTATACCATGTATTGTTTTAACTCCGTGTTTAATATTCCAGCTGTGTCTCGACACATATTACTGGACAACAGTCAACCAGTTCTTTGTGTGGGGCAGCCTGGCTGCCTACTTTGCTGTGACATTCACCATGTACAGCAATGGCATGTTTCTCATCTTCACCTCTGCTTTCCCCTTCATTGGTGAGTAGAGCCACCATGTTTTAACTGTTGCAGGAAAAATGCCTGCAGCCCTCCAACAAACACATTTTGAACATATATATGTTGAAAAAGCAGTTTGAGATGTTTTTCTTTCTTTTTGTTCTGTACCCTGGTGTTACTTCAACAAAATCTAAATGTAATTTTTACTTTATTTATACTGGGCCAGTGTGCATCAGTAATCAGTGGAGCTCATTGATGCTGGTATATATTTTGTTAAAACAATCATCTCGTCTTCTTCCGCCTATCCGTCTGGGTCGCGGGGGCAGCATCCCTACTAGGGAGTCCCAGACCATCCTCTCCTTGGCCTCCTCCAACAGCTCCTCCGGCAGGACCCCAAGGCGTTCCTGGGCCAGATTGGAGATATTTCTCCAACGTGTCCTGGGTCGACCAGGGGGCCTCCTGCTGGCAGGACATGCCTGAAACACCTCCCTGGGGAGGCGTCCAGGAGGCATGCTAACAAGATGCCCAAACCACCTAAACTGACTCCTCTCGATATGGAGGAGCAGCGGCTCTACTACGAGTCTCTCCCGAATGTTCGAGGTCCTCGCCCTATCCCTAAGGCTGAGCCCGGCCACCCCGCGGAGAAACCTAATTTCGGCCGCTTGTGTCTGTGATCTTGTTCTATTGGTCATTACCCAAATCTCATGACCATAGGTGAGGACTGGGTGGTAGATCGACTGGTAAATCAAGAGCCTTGCATCAATTCAGACACTGCCCCAATCCGCCTGTCGATCTCCCACTCCCTCCTTCCCTCACTCATGAACAAGACCCCAAGATACTTGAACTCTTCCACTTGAGGCAGGACCTCTCTCCTGACCCAGAGTTGGCAAGCCACCCTTTTCCGGTCGAGAACCTAGGTCTCCGATTTGGATGTGCTGATCCTCATCCCAGCTTCTTCACACTCGGCTGCAAGGCTCCCCAGCAAGAGCTGTAGGTCAGAGCCTGATTAGCTCATTCACTGTCAGGAGGACCACATCATCTGCATAATGTAGAGAAGAGATTCTCCTGCCACCAAACTCCACACCCTCAACACCACAGCTGTGCTTAGAAATCCTGTCCATAAACGTTATGAACAGCACCGGTGACAAAGGCAGCCCTGGTGGAGCCAACCCTCACTGGGAACAGGTCCGACTGACTGCCGGCTACATATACATATATATATATATATATATATATATATATATATATATATATATATATATATATATATATATATATAGTAGGGACAATTAAGTCGACATGCTTTGTATTAACCGTGGATTGTGCTGCACTAGTCTGCATTTTTGTTTTGTTTATTTATTGTTGGTATGGGGAGAAATTTAAGTTCATTGTCTATTTTTCAATCTGTATGTCTTGGTGTCATGGTGATAGTTTAAGATAAAAGGGGTAAATGAACACTGTAAGCTTTGCTTCTGCCTACACCCGTTTGGATATATAGGTCAGCTGGATTCAGTTAACTTATGTGCCAAACAAATTCATTCATTCATGTGAAGTATTTCAGTGAATACCCTTTGAAGGGTCTGATACTTTTTTCTCTATTTTTATTTCAGGCACAGCGAGGAATTCTTTAATCCAGCCAAACGTGTGGCTGACCATTTTACTGACTTCTCTGCTTTGCACTCTGCCCGTCGTGGCTCTGCGTTTCATTCTCATCCAGATCCACCCAACTGTCAACGACAAGGTGATTAAAACACGAGTCTGTAAGACACTGCTACATATAAAAATTCCTTACTCTGTTTCCATACATGTCCTTTATAGGTGAGATATAAAGTGCAGAAGGAGGTGCTACCAGCACCTGCACCCCGCCGTCCACCTGCCAGGCGCATCAGCACCCGCCGCTCGGGCTATGCCTTCTCCCACTCCCAGGGTTATGGTGATCTGGTGACCTCTAAATGGTTCCTGCTCAAGCAGCCTCTTAAGGGTCGGGCGATGCTGTTTGGTCAAACAGACTCCACTTTGGCTGAAAATAAACCCCAACACTACCGCAGCATAACTGAGGGGTCACAGAGCTCAGGGTTAGGAGGGGGACACTAACTCAAATACTGTTTTTATCACATCTAAAGAGCGAGTTTCTAAATCAAGAGATTGTGTGTTAGCTAGTGTTTAGGCAAACATTCAAGCAAAAAGGACTTTCAGGCACCTACATGAAACCAGATCTGTTTGATTAGTCCCCCAAATATTTTGGAAAAGTAAGTTTCTGATTGGGATTTGAGTTTTTTTTTTTTTTTTTTTTAACTTCTATCTGCTCATGTCACAAACAAAAGCCCTTGTCTAAATCATCCAAAGCTAATGCTAAAGCTCTTTTAAACAAGAGCCGTTCCTGAGCTGATGCCATCTTTGTAGTTTGTCTTCATCATAGCTCTGGAGCTAAGCCCGCCGAACATCTCTCCACAAAGGCAGTGCTGTGATTGGCCCGCTCTAAAACTTCAGTCCAATAGTAGACCTGCTGAGGCTACAATGGAGCGTGTCCAGACCTGCAGAGCAAAATATTTTGCTACTGCGACGGTTTGTCTAGAGTTCTTGGCTAGCAGAGACCTTGAGATGATAAAACTCTTTGTTGGGAAACGTGGTCAAATACTGGATTATGGTTTGAGCTAAAAAAAACTAAACAAGTTTATTTTGTTTTCTGAGCTATTTTGTAATCCAAATTCCTTGTAAGCTTTTGTTGTTTCTTAATATTTTTCTCTAAAATTGAAATAATTTAAAAGTAAAACTTGCCATTGTGAAGCGAATAGATTTATGTATTCTTCAACCTTTGAAGATAAATAAAATCCTGTCCATAAATAAAAATAATGATAAAACCAGTATTTTTAAATAATAAAAAAATACTGGTTTTATGCCATTGCAAGACTTCTGCTGTTTGTTTGTTTTTTTGCTATATTTTGACAAAAATTTTTAACATTTTTACATTATTATCTTTTGTGCTGTTTTATGTCTGTTGTTTACCTCATATCTTACAGCTCTTAAAAGAGAAGATATTTTTTATATCAGTTCACATTATTATAATGGAGTTTGTTTTGTAGTTGTGCTGTTGTTTCTCTCAAAAATCTCAGCCTTTTTGCTCTCTGTACTGATGTCTGTCTCTTCAGGGCGGGCTTGAGAAAAAGATTTTTGCTGATGAAATGATTAAATGAAACACTGATTAATCTAAAAGCATTTTAACTGTCTTTGATTGATTCTTTCTTCTCTCATACTGGGACTCCCTCTCTTACACTCACCTCTGTTAACACACGCTGAGGCAATGCCATCTTAGAGTTGTTCAGAACTGCATTCAGCCCACATCTGCAGTGTCCTCTGAGGCAGAGTTATGACCTCACAGATGGAGGCTGTCCAAGTCTGGCACTGGTCCAGAAGGGCTTTCATTTTACTCTCCTTCACAAGAACAGGTGGCGTAGATCACACTTCATGGCTTTGTGCACACACACATAATTAGGGAACACTGCAAGACCTAAGCTGATAGCCAAAAAATCAAAACTGATGCTTGAACTTTGATTTTTTTAGAGCCTGCTTTTATTCTAACAAGTAAATAGAAAAGTAATTCACATTAATTCCACATACATGATTAGAAATTCATATTGATGAACAGCTATTTAACCCCAAAGTAGGACTGTGACAGATTTCTTTAACCTCCACCCATTGCTCCTTCCTTTATAACCATACAGCACGTCCAGCAGGCTGGGCTGAAGGTCAGAGCGTGATCACACAGGCTAGAATAGGAATGTGGTATAAATAGCCTACATGTGTGGCACACTCCTAACTACGGCAGAGCACTATGATCGTAACCTGATAATTTTCTAGAATAAAACAGCTTCTGGGTAGTGTTTCAGTTTTTTTTTTATTAACTGATAAATGGAAATCAAGAAGATGTGACAGCAATGCAGTCTACTCCTAACTCCCTTAATGCACTTAGACATTTGTTGTGACAGAAATAAATGCAAAATACTTCTTTAGAACAAATAAGTATAGCAGGAATCAGCTAAAGTCAAACTGCATGCTTGGAAGCTGCAAACACACAGTCGAAATGAACACAGTCGCCCACAGATACAGGCTCTCTGACTGATGGTATCGCGCAGTCTGTGTGGGTCAAAGGTCAAATGGAAAGTCTGGTCTCACTTGCTGTAAGGAGAAACAGCAGGCTCGTCTTCAGGAGGAAGAGAATTTCACACATAGCAGTCCAAGTTGGACCTCACATGAAACCGTGCACTACTCACTCAGAGGGATCCAGGCTACACTGAATGAAGCCATAAAATTAGTACACAAGACTTTCCTAAAGGGGAAAAATGGCTCATTTATTTAAATGCTTTCTATTATTGTTTTCTGCTTGAAACACTTAGAAGAAAAAAACTCATCAGCTTTATTTATAACTGATAATTTCCAAACAGGGGTGGCACAGTGGTTAGAGCTGTTGCCTTGCAGCAAGAAGGTCCTGGGTTCGCTTCCCAGCCTGGGATCTTTCTGCATGGAGTTTGCATGTTCTCCCTGTGCATGTGTGGGTTCTCTCCGGGTACTCCGGCTTCCTCCCACAGTCCAAAAACATGACTGTTAGGTTGATTGGTCTATCTGAATTGTCCTTAGGTGTGAGTGTGATTGTTTGTCCTGTGTGTGTCTGTGTTGCCCTGCGATGGACTGGCTCTCTGTCCAGGGTGTACCCCGCCTGATTGCCCATTGACCGCTGGAGATAGGCACCAGCCCCCCCACGACCCTGCGTGGACAGAGCGGGTTCAGACAATGGATGGATGAATGGATGAACTTCCAAACAGAAATTATGCTTTTCTTAGTGGAACTTTAATGTTGCTGCTTAGATGACAAGGATTCTGGTAATTTAATAGATGTTATATTGGCACTAACTAAAAAACAGGGTAGGCCTAGCAACAGAGCTGCAATGAAGACAAACTACAAAGATGGCATCGGCTCAGGAATGGTGCCCTTTTGAAACTGCCTTGGTATCAACTCTGGACTATTTAGATGTGTGCTTTTCTTTCAGTCATGAGGTGATATAGATACACTGATCCTTTATTTCTTCAGACTGCCCCGTTGACTGATTTCTGTTGCGATTGACACATCACAAGGTTTGTTGCTCTGATCAGTCCTAGTGCTGTCCAACAGCATGCGGGGACAGTTTCAAAGACAACTGTGGACTCCTTGACCGAGCTTTGGGTGGTGGCCAGAATATACATGTACATATTCAGGGAGCTTAAGTCTCTCCATCTACTTCCGAACCACGGGTCTCCACAACTGCCCAAAAAAATAAATGGAAGTCTATGGGAGGATAAAAGTTATATTCTGATCCTGTTTGACATGTGCCATGGATTTAATATGATTTTCATGCACTTTAAAGACACATTTTGATGCCAAGAAAGCGCCTGATTTTGACAGCTGACATATAAGACCACAAACACTCGTCTCACCAAACTGACGTCACTGAACCAGACACGGAGAAGAGAAGATTAGAGCATTAAACGTGGAGAAAACCACTATAAATCTGGCCATGTGGTAGTAGCTATACCCTGGGGAGAAGAACTTCTGCTGTGACGTCATACATCTGGCATCTGATTTGTAGTAATTTTAATTATGAATTTTAGCAATCTACTGAATCACAAATTACATGACAGACACAGTCGAAACACACAAGTACTTTCATTTAAATTGAAGAACAACATATGTGAGATTGGGGGCGTAAGGCAAAACGGATTAGAAAATAGCTTCAATAGACCTATTGATACACATTCATTTTTCTTTGTTCCGAAAACTCACGAGTCTATCGGAAGGGGAGGAGATTTAGGCGTATGGCTTGCAAGGCTAAGTGAAAGGCATTCTCAATCAATTGGATTAACATCCTGGTATTAAACACTCCAGAACTACAGATTGTCTTCATCCATGTCCAGATTTGTCAGAGCTGGTCCTAAAAGGAGAACTCAATAAAGTCTAACCAAACTATTATCCAACACACAAAATGTCATGATCATAAAGAATAAATCCTCAATAATAAAAATAAAGGTATTTTTATTCATGACTGAGTCTATACTTTGATGTAATACAGACACACTTTATAATATAAACAAAAAAGTGCTAACTTTGCAAAGTTTTTAATTGTGACTGATGTTCTAATTTTCATGAAGAGCATAAATTGGTTAAACAACCAAAAGAGAAGTCTTCTTACATTTGACTCAACTTACGTCATGTCATGGATGAGGGTGGATCTACACCTTTAGTTCATGTTTACTGGATTTAACAACAAAGCTGACGTTCATGAGAGGCCAGGATGAAGAGACACAAGTAGCCTAGAGCGCAATCAATTTATTAATCTCTGTAATTCATTTAAAAAATGACTGTTTTATTCTTGAGTTTCAGTATGAACAATAAAGTTAAACTGTTGAGGAAAGATTAAAAAATTATTAACAGAAAGATTTTAAAAAATCTGAGAGAAAAGAAGTCAAGACAAAAGTCGATATTTCAGGACATTTCAACGGCTATAGTCTAGAAATGAGCTCTTTGAATGTAATCTCAACACATCTTATTTGTTTTTCTTTGCATGACCTGAGTCCTTCATTGTAGCCATGAGATTATGTTAAACCAAACCCAAATCATCTAAAATGTTTAGCCAGGTCAGGTGTTAGGTAACAGCCTAGTTTTGCATCTTTCATCCAGGTCAGCTCTTAAAGGATTCTAAACCATGTCATTGAAATAAGTGATTTTCCTTTTTATTTATAAACATCCATGTCTAATGAACTCAAATCATTAGTTTATGATCTTGTTGATAAAAGCCAAACAACTGCAGCACCTAAACAGCTGTTTCTGTGGGATTAGATCATCGAAGCAGTCTGCCAATGAGATCTGAGTGATGATTTGAGTTGATGATTTGTCGGCTTTGTTCCCTTTGGAAGTGTTGAGCCCCACATGGGGTCTTCCAGATTAAGCCCGTGACTTGGCGTTAAGATCATTGCCTTAACAGATTAGGTTGACTGAGGTTCAGGCATTGGTTGTTTTGAGTGAAGAACAAAGAGTGAGATAAACAGAGACGCATGTCTGCTGTAATCCTTGCATCTACACTTTGTTTTTATTTATTTAACCTTTGTTTAACCAGATGAGTCGATTGAGAACTCATTCTCATTCACAACAGTGATCTGGCTAAGAGGCAGCTGCAACAGACACAGTTAGCTTCACATAAAAGAAAAAAAGGTAAGATAAAACAATTAGACGTATAGACAACAAACTGCTCTAATATACAATATGTACAAACAATCAAAACAGGCTTAAAACAGTCTTTAAGTATTCAGAAACAGGCACAATGATCAGAAACTATTGATTATAATGAATTGTTGAAGGCAAATAGTGGAATGTAGGTACTAATCTTTAGTGATTTTGGCAGATCATTCCAGTCATTGGAAGCAGCAAACTGGAATGAGGAGCGGCCAAAGGGGGTGCGAGCTTTGGGAATAACCATGGTGATTAAGTTACTGGAACACTAATTGCAGGGCCGGCTCTAGGTAATTTGGTGGCCAAGGCAAGACTGCCCAATTGCCCCCCCCCCCCCCCCCCCCCGTGCCCGTACGCCTCTCACCCAAACCCAAGTCCACCCACCCACCACACATTGGAAAAAGCAACTCTACAGTTATTCCTTAGTTACTTTTTTTTTTTTTTTTTAAATATTCACACAGCAACTCTTTAAAGTCAACAGCCTGAAGAATAAATGTAAGCTTGAAAGATAAGTAACCTGAGAATATTACAATAACCAACAACTCAAAATGTTGTGCAAATGTCATTGGGGGGGGGGGGGGGGGGGGATGCAAAATCAAAAGCAGCATTAAACTGTGCAATCAAACGCAAAACTCAAACATCAGTGTCATCATAAAGAAAGTTCTACTTTCCATTTTGTTCTACTGCTGTGGCCAGTCAGCAGGATCCATGGGGCCAGCAGCTCATACATGTTCATAGACATCTGTTGAAGCTGATGATGACGTCTCTTCACACACACACACACACACACACACACACACACACACACACACACACACACACACACACACACACACACACACACACACACACACACACACACACACACACACACACACACACACACACACACACACACACAGCAACTTAGCCCTCTGATGCATGAATTACTTAAGAACAGTGCCACTTTCATGTTCAAT